AAGCCAGCTCATGTGCCAGGGAGAGATGCTGGTCCCACGGCTAGGGGCCCCATACAGATCAAGCCACACAACTGTCACCCACATGCAGAGGGCCTAGGTCAGTCCCATGCAGGCTCCCTGTCTGTCTGTCTAGAGGGTCAGCTGTCTCTGTGGGTTTTCCTGTCATGACCTTGACCCCCCCTTCCACCCTTTCTTCAACAGGACTCCCAGCTCGGCCCAAGGCTTAGCTGTGGATCTCTGCATCTGCTTCCATCAGTTACTGGATGAAGGTTCTATGACGACAATTAGGGCAGTTACCACTCTAATCACAGGAGATGGCCAGTTCAGGCACCCTCTCCACTACTGCTAGGAGTCTTAACTGGGGTCATCCTTATGGATTCCTGGGATTTTCCCTGGCACCAGGACAAACTAGTCTTACCGAACAAAAATAAAATAAAAACGCACCAGTTCCCTAGGAGATCCTCAAACACCCACATCTGTTTTACATTCTTAGGCACAGGCTATTAGAGAATTTTTAAAAGCTATTTTTATTGTGTTAAAGATTATTTTAAAAATTGTATGCATGTGTGTTTGTGTGTAGATATCTGAGTATGAGTGCATGCACCCATGGAGGTCAGAGGTGTTGGTTCCCTGTGCCGCTGGAATTATAGGAGGTTGTGAACCACTAAACATGAGTACTGGGAACCAAACTCGGGCCCTCTACAAAAGCAGTATGTATTCTTAACCACTGAGCCATCTCTCCAGCTTCTGTGTTGTACTCATCCATTGAGGATTTCATACATGTATCCAATGTATTTTAATCATACCCACCCTCACTTCCCTCTCCAGCTCCCCCAAACCCCGCCTCCATGGTCCCCTCCGGACTTCATGTCTTTTTTTTTTTTTAAATAACCCAGAGTTCCATAGTGCTACCCATATATGTATGGGCATGTACCCATCTACTAGAGCATGGTCAACTTACCAGGGGCCACACCCCTAAACAAAACTGACTCTCTTCTTCTAGTAGCCATTGGCTGTCAATGCCCCTCCCCCATTTGTGCTGGAATGCTGACTGGCTTGATTCTGTGAGCGTCTTTGCAGACAACCACATTGCTGTGAGTTGATGAGTACAACAGTCATGTCCAGAAAATACTGTCGAATTTGATCAATACCTTGTCAGGGAGCATTATGTCTTACCAACCCTAAAATTCTTAAAAATTCCACAGCTGGCTCTCACACTGTGTGGATTAACTTCCCGCTCGCTCTTTAGGTTCGGTTTGCACATCTTCAAGGTGTTTCTAAATCTGTTGAACACCTTGCGGCTAGCATCATATCATCTATATAATGAAGCCATCTTGCGGAGGGCAGATAGTACAGCAGGGTCCTGGACTACCATCACGTGACCAGACACTGGGTTTGTATCCTGATGAGTGTAAAGCCAAAAGTGAATTTATTTTACTGCTCGCAGCCTGGAAAGAGGGCTCTGTTTCTAAAGCAATGCCCTCCTTGGATGAAGAAAGCATAAGGGTTTTATACAAGACTATACAGCTCTTCACAGAGGACGTGGCCCCCTCCTAAATACACTCAGGTAAAGTATGCTCTTGAGGACAGTTTCAGATGCTGAAACCCATGTTTAAGAAAGTGATGGACAGGAATGCCTCTGGGCATGCTCAGCTCACATCATATATAGTGTTTAATGGAACATAAACATTTTGAAGGTACATTAATCCAGGATTATGTTCCTGAAGGTGCCTGCCTTGTTTATTGGCTAACAATCCCATGACAGTGGGGCTCTGGAGCAAAGCTTGATGGAGCGGCTCCTGCTGAGTGAGTCGGTCTGGGGAGCCAGCAGCTAGGGGAACAGTGAAGCAAGGGGACACTTCATCACTTGCACTGTTTCAAAAGACCAGTCCTGGTATAAGCAGGTAGATGGGGTGGCACTTCTCTATTTAGCTCTCTTTAATTCAGCCATTATCCATGAGCTGTTTGGCTTTTTGTTGTCATGTAAACATTAACTATCCATTGTTAACTTGTTCATTCTGTGTGTCGATGCACACACGTGCATGTGCACACTATGGCATGTATGTAGGGGTCAGGAGACACTTGAGAGCTGGCTCTCTTTCCACCATGTGGGCCTTGTAGATCAAACTCAGGTTTTCAGGCCTGGCAACGCAGGCCCCTACCAGTTGAGCAACCTAAATGGACCCTTATTGCGGCTGCTGCCACACAGGTCTCTATGTAGTCCTGGCTGTCCTGGAGCTCACTATGTAGACCAGGATGGTCTTGAACTCAAGAGATCCACCTTCCTCTGCCTCCCAAGTACTGGGATTAAAGGTGTGTGGCACCATGACTAGCCTCCATCTGGCTTCTTTACTGGACACACTGGGCTGGGTGGATACTCTATCCTTTAAAAATTCTTCATGGTTTCTGTAACTTTGTCACAGACACCCTGGGCAGCCTATGTTGTTTGGTATTTATTGCCCCATGGCAGGGAGGTTAAATAACTTTACAGCTCTCATCTCAGCTAACCAGGCCTGCCTGCCTTACAGTGACCCCAAGTAGAAACTTTCCAAAGTGGTATGCAGCGTCCCTAGCGGTACATCTACCAAATGGGGAGAAATGTACAGTGCCCTGGGCAGATATGATCAGCCACCCACAGGATAAACTTAGCACCTACCTGTACCATTCTCTCGCTGTCTACTCACTGCTGCTCGGTTCTTGGTACCTTTGAGGGTTGCCAAGGTAATTTAGCTCCAGTACCTTACCGCAGCCCATATTTTACTCATTAATAAGGGGCAGATAAACGTGCAATCCACGGAGCCTCTAGTTCCTTTGTATGCTCATTTTAATCTTGGCCACTTCTGAGGGTGGGCTGAGGCGGTTCCACGCCAGAGCTTCCTCCACCTGCATCCCAACCCTCTCTCTGCCATCATTTACGAGGGTGAGCTGACACCTGGCTCTGAAGTCTTCCTTCTAGAGCAGCGGTTCTCAGCCTTCCGAAAGCTGCAACCCCTTAATACAGTTCAAGTTGTGGTGACCCCAACCATCAAATTATTGCGTTGCTACTTTGTAACTGTGATTTTGCTACTGTTATGAATTGTAAATGTTTTCTGATGACCTTAGGTGACTCTCTGTGAAAGAGTTGACTCGGGGTGTGTGTGTGTGTGTGTGTGTGTGTGTGTGTGTGTGTGTGTGTGTGTGTGTGTGACCCACAGGTTGAGAACTGCTATCCTAGAGGCTCAAAGGCACCAAATCTGGTTTCCTGTCACCCCAACTCAATACAAATAGGACTCCATTCACTTTTAAGCAACCAAAGACCTTCCTTGTGTTTCCTTTTTCTCAAGCCCTCCTGAGTACTTTAGCACTCACTAACTCTATGTACACGCTATCCTTCATCACAGACCTGCTGGCCTCTCCTATCTAGTGAAGGTCACGGCCCCTATTAGTATCAGCAAAGGCCTAAAGGCCCATATCAGTCCTGAGGTCACTGCTGAAAGCTTTTAACTTTCTTGTCAAGTTTTATCTAGGTGTTGAACTGTACAGTATTTCCTTCACACCCAGGTCTCAGTAATGCCTGCCCTTTTCATTGTCTTCTAGTTCCTAATATACACGGCAGCCTCAGGAAATGACCAAGATCCCCAACAGGACAGTCCGATTCCCCATTGTCTCAGACTATACCCTTTATCTCAAGGAAGGAGGGATGAGTGAGAATCCCCATTTCATGGCACCTACACTTTCCACTCCATCTTCTCCCTTGCCCCAGAGTCTCAACATTGTTCAAAGTCTTTGTTGTTGTTGTGTGTGCATGAGTACACACATGCCAGGGTGCACGTGTGGTCAGAGGTCAACTTCCCTTTTCTCCTTCCACCATGTTAATCTAGGAATCAAACTCAGGTCCCCGGGCCTGGCAGTAGGAACATACTTTGTTTTTACCCATGGAGCCATCTCGGTCTTCCCCCAGTCAAGCTGTTCACAGGCAGAGTGTTCTGATTATCATTTTCTTGTACTGGACCATCTCTAAGGCCACCTGCACGTTGGGCCATGGATCTTCCCTTCCTTTTTATTACCAACTCTTCCCATGGGCTCCCAAGTTTTTGGACCCCAGGAAACAGACTCAATTTGTACCTTATATCAGTTGTGTAAGAAAGGACTCCCTCTCCTCCCTTCTCATTTAACGCCCAGAAGCTAACAGTAGGTAACATCCACTCTCCCACTCTAACTCCTCGAGGAAGAAACTATGGGCTGACAGTGCAGCCTCCTCACGTCTTATTACCTACAGCACAGACCGTGCAACTGCCGCCGCCTGCTTACATCCTGACCCACAAATGCTTTCAAGGACTGTAAAAGCACTTTGTCCACCAGCTGCTTGGGGGGACATCTCTTACCTGGCAGACCCTATTACAGAAGAAAACTGCCACCTGGGGGTTTCTCTGACACTTGGCTCAGTTGTATGCCTCAGCACCTATAGCTGGGGGCCATTTACTGCCCCCCCTAGACTCGCCTTTGGTTCTGCTGCACGGCACATCGCAGGGCTTTTTCCTAGGGAGATACAGACCCATCTACTCACTACAGACAGGGAACATGCTAAGAGACTAAAGGACCCCATCCACTGGGGAACTGACGGAAGGAGCAGGGGCAGGTCCACAAGCAGCTGTACCACTGGCAGGCCCCCGCGCCACTTCAGAACAGCTGTGTCACCAGCAGGGCTGCCATCTGTGCCCCCCCTCCCCCCGCCAGCCAGAGTGCTTATGTAATCTTGTGAAATATGCCCCACCCCCCCAAAAGAAAACAAAAACAAAAAAAGGCCCATTTTGGTGAGGGCCTTGCAGGGTGATCACAGCTGCTCTGGTTCAAGACGGTGGCAAGGATCACGTCCAACTCGACAGAAACAGCCGTACCGTCTTCCTGCTGGCTCCAAAGGGTTACATAAAACTACTTTTTAAAAGAAAAAGCTCCAAACAGGTGCGATCAGAATAGTCCTGAGAGTGACAGATAGTGTGATACATCAATCCACAGGCAACTAACTGATAAAACGTTTTATTTCACTTTTGAGTTTGTACATTTTCCTGATTCCTCCGGGTAAGGTGAAACTAGAATGCTTAAAGACACACACGAGTCTAGCACATCAGTAAGCAGGGTTTCTTTCTCTTTTTGCTGTACTATTTTCACAACCACAGGTGTGCTTGCTCGGTAAATACAACACCACAGAAGCAAACGTTAGGCAGAATACTGGTAAGGAAAAACAAAGCAAAGAGCTACCAGATATACAGACAGGCTTGGGTCCACACTCACTACTGCGTTGTCAAGCGCCAAGTATTAACTGCACATTTTTGTTTAGCTAGAAATAAGGGATTTTTTTTGTTTGTTTTTTGTTTTTAGTTTTTTTTTTTGTTTTTTTGTTTTTGTTTTTGTTTTTTGGTTTGAAATCAGTGCATGAATTCTTTTCTCACTTCAGCAGATGGACAAACAGATGGATTCTACAGCTCCATGGAATGTCAAGGTAGAGGGGTGATAGATACTGTGAGACTGGCAGGCCTGGCTGTTGTTGGAGCGCTCTACTGTAGTGTCCATGCAACTTCCCTGTGGTATAGGGTCTTGTTTCGGCATGTCTGAGACTAAGCTGGATGGGTACACGGGGAGGGTCCGGTGACAGGTACTAACAAGCATTGTCAGGGCTGATTGCAATAGGGAGAAATCATGGCTACTTAAAGAGACTTCTTTTGATTCGAGTCATGGAATGAAGAACAACTGTGCCGAGAGCTGCAGGAAGACGGGGTGACGGTGCTGGCAGGCCACCTTTCCCAGCACCTTGAAGCAAGGCTTGCTCCCCAATGTGCTCAATGCCTCGCCCCTGTCCATACAGTAACAACAAATAAAGGCTTCCAAAAGAAAACACCCAAGGAAGCAGAAAGCTGTAAATTTAAAGAGGAGAAAACCAAAGTCAGCAGCCAGAAGGACAGGACGGAAAGAATGTTAAATCTCAAAGTTCCCACCCTCCAAGCTAGGAAGACCCCTAGACTAGGAGTGCTCCTCAGGCAAGAGACCATCTCCACAGATGGGTCCACACTCACTACTGCGTTTTGAGTCCACAGAACAGTATCCTTCAAGGAATTATCCAGCAAACTAGTATGGCCATTCCTAAGATAGACTGCTCTCTTTTTCTCTCCTTTAGCTAGGGGGTAACAGAAACAGATCTCTGTTTTCACAAGTTGCTAATCAGGAACACACTGCTGTAGTAACGGGGTTTAGTCACACATGTGGTATGAGCACGGGACCTTGTGTGTGGTGTCATAGATCAATTATCAGCCAAAGAATTTCACTTTCAGGTTTTGAGTTTCCTCAGAAGACACTGAAGATATTTGTGGTCATGAACTTTTGAGTGGCAACAGCCCATATTGATCAAGCGTCAATAAGCCATCAACCATAGGCAGAATTATCGTGAGTCACCAAACTCAGGGTGCCAATGGTAAGCATCTCACCCTAAGTCCCGTCATCATAACAGAATCTCTAGAACTTTCTGTACAACTTTACAACAGAATTGTATTTTCAGTGACTATTTTGATATCAGATTAAACTTTCCAAAAAGTTATACATAATTCAGGTCTATTTTTCCTACCAGTAAGAGCTCTGCTAAATTACAAAACCCCATAATCACAGTGTTCAGTTTGTAAAAATTAAACATACAGTAATCCTTGTCAATATTGATCAAAAATCAAGACTTCAGAAATGCCGTGGCATTTAAGGGACCAGTCTGAGTTTTAGATACAAATACCAGCTGTTTATCCCAGGGACCATTTTTGCTAGGCTTAGGCTGTGAAAAATCGAAAGTCAACATTCGATTTTTTTGTTTTTGTTTATCGAACAAAGGGATATAATGTGGAGGATACAGAGTGACACCAAAGAGATCACAAAGCATGACGACAGACATTAGTTTTCTCCCTCTCCAGCATCTCCTTCATCTCCCTGGTTTTCTGATGTCCAGAGCTGCAAGAGAAAAAGAAATAGAAAGCTGTAATAAGAGATCATTAAAATTGTTTCTCCAAGAGGTGGGCCTAGTATATTTACCTCAACCACTCAATTTTCTTTTTCATTTTATCTTACATGTATGGGTGCTTGGCCTGCGTGTATGTCTGTACATCATTACATGCCTACTGCTCTAGGGAGTCAAGAGAGGGCACCACATCCCCTAGAACTGGAGTACAGGTGGTTGTGAGCTGCTGAGTGAGTGCTGGGAACCTGGGTCCTCTGGAAGAACAGGCTGAGAACCACTGAGTCCTGTTTCCAGGTCTCTCACTCAACTATTCACAACTCCTTATTATTACCATAGACAATGATGACTACAAAGGCATAAAGGTGGTAGTACAATACAGGTTAACTTAGCAACGAAAACTGTACTGTGAGTTAACAAATCCCTCTTAAATCCTGGATAATAGTGGATTAAGTAGGTAAACGGCCTCCAGGGTACTTACAGTGAGGTTGTCCCTGAGCAGCTGCATGATCAGGGTGCTGTCTTTGTAAGACTCTTCATTCAGCGTATCCAATTCAGCAATTGCTTCATCAAATGCCTAAAACAAAGAGCTATTAGCAAAGATCTGGACATTCTCTGCATTAGCTCTACCCTTCCTGCAGGTAGGAGGATGGGAACTACCCTGCTCTCTTCTCACATGTCTGCCAGCTGTTTCCAATGTTTGACATGTACAAAGCACCAACCAGCAATGACAAATCCCCACTAACAAACACTAACTGTTACTGTTAGCACATTTAGTCTATAAACTCACTCAAATTTTTGATTGCCAAAGCGGTTTCTATTTTTGTTTAAACTAAAAAGGTCAAAGGGGAGAACAGCAAAGCTCACCTCACTAAGCTTGATTTGTCTCTGGGGTTCAAGTTGTAGAATTCGCTGCAGGCACCCTTTCCAAATTCAAGTTTCAAATAACCGTGTGCATAGGAGAAAGCTCCCCAAAGAAGACAGGAAGTAATACAGCACAAACAAAATGGGGTCTCATTTCTTTCGGGATGACCTCTCTTGGCACAAAGATGACAATGCCCAATGCTCAAAGCTTGTTGAGAACCACCACTTTACCTCAAAGGTTCTACCAATGATCCCAACAGTAATCAAACAAAGTAAAACAAAAGCCAGCATGTATTCAGATGAAAGCACCAAGTTAATAGCTCTGTATTTATTTCCTAAAATCCCACCCCCTAGAAAATGTTTAAATGTCCAAGGCAGCAAGGACTGTCATAAATAGAAGGAAATTCTTGGAAATAGCAAAAGGGTCTTTCTTTCCTTACCGTTTTGGCCAGGCTGCAGGCCTTTTCAGGAGAGTTTAGAATCTCATAGTAAAAGACTGAGAAATTCAGCGCCAGGCCAAGTCGGATCGGGTGTGTAGGCTGCATTTCTTTCTTACTAATTTCAAATGCTTCTTGGTAAGCCTGCTGAGAGTTCGACACAGTGGCTAGAAAGAAGATAAAATGTCAGCTTCTTGCACAGGCTGCATCCCCATGTGATGATCTTTACTATCAAGTTACTTCAATAAAGACCCTAAAGTAAATGAACTATCAAAACAAAGGTCCGTGTCTTCACCATTCAACCTAAATACTTGTTCAATGTTTATGCTAAGTACTACATTAAATGCTTCAGAAGAAAACAGACAATTATGAGGAAGTCTATTAAAGCATCCGAGAAATATAGACACGGTCTCTCATAAGACTGAGTATGGAAAATATGTTCTAGTGAAAAGATAATGGGGTTTATGGTCAGCATAAACAAGCTCAAATTTTCAACTTAACTCACCCAGTATGAGGCCTAAGTAAAAAGTCCACACATGAACTCTGGTTTCTTTTCTTTTCTTTTTTAAGATTTATTTGTTTATTATGTATACAATGTTCTGCCTACATGTATGCCTGCCGGCCAGAAGAGGACACCAGATCTCATCATTGATGGTTGTGAGCCACCACGTAGTTGCTGGGAATTGAACTCAGGACCTCTGGAAGAGCAGTCGGTGCTCTTAACCTCTGAGCCATCTCTCCAGCCCCAACTCTGGTTTCTTTCAGTGGAAAAACTGGAGACCCACACCCAGATTCAAAGTGCTAAGAGAATAGTGCAACCCTAACTACTTGGCACATGGCAACGAGTGAAGCAGCCACAATCACATCACAGTAGGCCATGTGTTGAAGAAATGCATCCCTATGGTGGTCCACACAGCGGTCTCCTCATCTGTGGATGCCAGGAACTAGACAGTACGGAAACCTATCATCTATGCTCAAGGTAACTCACACAGGAGATTAACAGGACAGTTCCATCAATATGCTGTAATGTAAGTTTGCACTCTGGAAATCAGTAAATTACTTGAACACAAGCAGTGCATACTAGAACAGTCAATCAAGTAACCAATATGGCAACTAGGTAAGTAATAGGTGGCTAGCATATACAGGGTTACTCAGAAAAATTTATGACTCATCTATCTTTGAAATTTTCCATTTAGATTTCAAACTACATTTGTAGCAACTAAAACTGGGTAAAGAAAGTTACGGCCAAGGTGAACCACCATATTTTACAGTTTTACTATACAGAGAACCATCAATTCCCAGGTAAGAGTTCACCACATATATTACATACTAAACTTCTAATACCCTTCCTATCTATCCACTAGATAGAGATTTGCTAACTCCGGGACCCCACGCGTGACAATTCTGTGGTCCTGAAACTCTAATTACTGTGATCTTAGTATCTATAGTAAACAAAGTCAAAATGGATTTCTTTATGAAATACTAGCCCTCCTACTGACTGTATTTTTTAAAACGTTACTTACTTTGTTTATTGTCTCCAGATGCAACCTCAGAAAGATACCTAAAATAGTCTCCTTTCATTTTCAAGTAGAACACCTTGCTTTCTGGCTGCGTAGCATTAGGAATAAGATATTTGTCCAACAGCTCCTAAAAAGTGATTTACATTAAGAATTTTGAATTGCTTCTGAGATGTTCAAATTACATTTGAGATTCAAGATAGATACTACTACTACTGATTTTTCTGAAGACTAAAAACAACAAAAAATCCTACACAAACAGAAAAACCCAACCAATTTTCATCCAAGCTGCTAAATACTGTTTAGCCAATTCCTAAGAGTAGACACCTGTATTCTTCATGTACAAGTCACTCTGACCACTGTAAGGGCTGGTTATAATTCAGCCACCACAGTGGAATGCGATGTCAAAAAGATGGCAGAGAACCACACCGCTAACACAACTCTAAATGGAATCTCACTTTAATATTAAAATAAGTGTGGGTGCATGCACACAAAAACACAGGGAAAGCCTTGGAGGATTCTATTAACAATGTTTCTCTGGATGAGAAGTGACATTAGAAGAGACTTTTACTTCGTAACTCTTCTGTTTGTCTCTTAAAAACAAACAAAACCCCCATTTAAACTTGTAATTCTGTAATTGTGAGTGTGTGTGGATCTTTCCATTCTGGGCAGAAAAAAAAAGCAGTAATAGAACAAAACAGCCAAGAACTAAGTTTAAAATTAATCTAACCTGGGAAGAAAACCTTCTGACGCTTACTGTCTGTTTCCACACGACCCTGGAGAGACTTAGAACCCCAAGCCTCAGATTCCTTGGCTGTACAGTGGGGAGGGGGAAGGGGACCGGCATGGCCACCTTCTAAGGCAGTATAAGGACAAGCGAGGTAACGTACATCTAGTGCTTAACACGTTGCTTGGCACGTAGTAAGCACTCAGAGTCTAGTACTATTATTAATAACAAATTCCTTTAAACATTTATGCTTACAACAAAAGTAGTTCTGAAGGAGTCCAAGCTTCGTATACAGAGCAATATTTTCGAAGAGTTGTTTTAGAATGTGGCATCCTGAAAAACTGGTTAAGAGGCAGTAAGTACCATGCTCTTCTTCACATTCTTTCAGATGCTCTTAAAAGCTGGTCTACATGTCAGGAATTATGGAACTCTCTTGCCTTTGGAATGCATGCCATGCTCCATCTGAATATCAGATGTACCTAACATTCAGGAATTAGTGCACCATTAACAAACCCCCAAACAACCGACAGGCAACAAGTGTAGCCATGAAACTCTTATCTAATAAAGAGAGGCTCAAAGCAAAGCTCAGCTATCAAGGATTTCATTATCAATGCCGGAGTGTGCAAGAGGCAGTAGTTGTTTTCAAGTATTGTGCAGAGAGGGATGGGACTCCTGTGGGTTGGAGTGAGGAGTGCTGCCTGATAGCTGACAAGCTTTACACTGGTTTTCAAAAGATGTCAAGGGAAGTAAGTCATCTGGAGAGACAGACAGTAGGGTAGGAAGGAGATCAACAAGCGTTAACCCCCTTTCCCTTTATATCAGCCCTCAGAGTTCATTTTTACCCAATGTCACACAGAAAATAAAAGTTCCCAGTGGGTTCCAGATATGAGGGAAAGAATAGAACCATAAGGTGTTCTAGGATAGGCCACCAACCCTCCCGTCTAACCTCAAATGTAGTTACAAGGACCCCACCTGACCGCAGCATCCGTAACACACAGGAGAAGCCCCAGACCACCTCGGATTTGGCTTTGGACCGTACACTGCAACTGACAGATGTACCTAACCTTCTACATCAGATTTCTACACTTTGTGAAGGCATGACCAAGGAGAGGCTGAAAGGCCTTTACACCTCTTCCTGTCCAGAGACGATCACTACTGAGACCACTAGAACAGCCCACTAGTGACCGAATCTTTCTAATTATCCCCTCCATCTGGCCTTAATTTCTAAAGACAAATGGAGGAATGTTGATGAAATGTTCCTGTTTGTTGCAGGTCTTTTTGAGAGGAAAAGGAAGACATCCCTAAAGAGATGCACTGATCACGAAAGGGTGATGAAAATCACATCACATTCTTTAGATCAAGTTATAAACGGGTTTCAACTCCTTGAGTGTAGTGGAACACCTCCACTCTCTCCTAAGCTGCTGGAGAGTGTATCTGGACCGCTCGTTAAGCCTAGAGATGGATGTGAAAAGCAGAAGCGCTGCCCTCACCAGCACGTCATTGCAGATGTCCTGCAGCTCAGCCTCTATCTTCTCCCGGTACTCTTTGCCCATCTGCTGTTTCTTCTCATTCCGCTCTGTCTTCTGTTCGATGCTGGAGATGACACGCCAGGAAGAACGGCGGGCACCTACCACATTCTTGTAGGCAACAGAGAGTAGATTCCTCTCTTCATTGGAGAGTTCATGTCCCTGTTCTGTTACGGCCTTCATAGCTGCAGCCATATCATCATAGCGCTCAGCTTGCTCAGCAAGTTTGGCTTTCTGTACCAGCTCACTTTTGTCCATGGTCATTCCTAGAACAGCCAGAGCACAGAGGAAGCACTGTCAGCAATGACGCTCTCAAGAGCACAGCCCCCAATGCCATCAAGAATGTGGACCGTGGACCTACAAAGTCAGGACTGGGCTGAGGTCGTGAAATTATTTGGGTCAATTGTTACCAACAATCCTACATGGTAGGAATATTCCCAATAACCCCTCTACCTTCTTAGAAAACACAAAGATTAAGAGAAAGAAAACGATGTGCCCAGAACACCACGGCAAGTGGAACACAGTGGGGAGTCAAGGCTTGCTGGCTTGTCTGTCCCTTCTAGAGCTTGTTTGTTCCATTATCCTAGATTCCTCCCCAATACGCAGAAACTGCTTTAAAACGACTTGCTTTTAAACACCTGTTTATGTGTGCGTGCACATGGGAGAGGACACACATGGGTGTATGTGGGGAAGGGAGGACAACGTCGGAGCTGGTTCTCTCCCTGTACCATGTGGGTTTCGGGGATTAAACTTGGGTCGTCAAGTTTGGCAGCAATCTCCTTTTCCTGCTAGGCCATCTTGACAGCTCCTACCCCAGAGCTTGTTTTGTTTTTAAGTTTATGCTACATATATGTTCTTTACCTTTTTAACTTTTAAAAAGTAACCTTAGTTTGGAGTTGGAGATATGGCTCAGAGGTTAAGAGCACTGCCTGCCATTCCAAAGGACCTGCATTTAATTTGCAACATCTACATGGCAGTTCAAAACTGCCTGGAACTCCAGTTCCAAGGGATCTGACCACCCCCACCCCACTTTTGGCCTCTTAAGGACACTAGGCATGCAATGAGGTACACAGACATACATACAGACACAACACCCATACACAGTTTTTTAAAGCTACCTTAGCTCAACACCCAGCAATACAGAAGCCCCTTCTCACTGTCCAGTTCCCAGCACCCCACAGCAGCTCCGAGTCAAACAGCAAGCACTTTAGCCAGATGAAATGTCAGCAGAGACGACAGTTCTCCCTGCCCTCTTCTTTCACAGCAGTTACCTACAAGCCCATGTATTCCAGTATGTCCAGTCCTCAGATGGTGACGTTCTACAGTCAAGTTCCTGCATGACTCTGCCACACTGGACATGCAGTACAAAAAAGAAACTTTTGGGAGTGGAGAGATGGCTCATCAGTTAAGAGCACTGGTTGCTCTTCCAGATGACTTACTTGGGTTTAATTCTCAACAATCACATGGTGGCTCACAACTATCTATAACTCTAATTCCAAGGAATACAATGCCCTCTTTTGGCCTCTGTGAGTAACAGACACACATACACGCTGGATAGACACACATGCAGGCATACATACATACCTATATACATAAAAATAAATAAATCTGAAATAAAATGGAGCCTTTCTGGTTTGGGATTATTTCAAGATTCTCTGACATTGTCACAGAGTTTTTTGAGATTAAAAACCATCATGTTACCTTAGACCAAGTGTTATGTCTTTAAAAAGAAAATTGATACTCATTTATCCATCAGTTTCTAAAACTTTCAATACAAAGAAACAAGAAAACACATTAACTAAAGGTCTTGATGCCTGCTGCTTATGTAACTCTAGACTAATATAACATGGATTTTGGAGCAGCTAGGCCAATTTCAACAGGAAATGGGTTACACACCATCTAGTAGTTTGGAGGAAGGCACAGAAGGGAAAATGAAACAGTTCCTCTTTCTCCATCTACACTAACACCCACCACCTGTAGCCACTCCCTGTCTGTGAAATCAGGCCATCCTCAGAAATCTCCAGTAAAGACACTCCCTGATTTAAGTTTTCACAGTCCCACAGCAGAGACAATAAAGAGTAGCAACTGATAGCAAACCCCCCTTCTCACAACACATCCTTCTGTCAAAACAGCTGGCTTCTTCATGCACATCTGCTTTTCCACCTCAACTCACTGGGCCGCAGCTCTCCTTCACATGGCCCCCACATCGACCTTCCCAAGAAGCTCCAATAGTCACTGGCCACTAGAAAATGTGACTAATACCACCTTTTGAAACCATGATATTTTGAATATTTAAAAATGTTAGTTTCTCTTGTCTTTTGGTATCTAGCTTTTTAAAGCTGGCTGGGTTTGAACTCAGGGCCACATGTATGTTACACTCCAGCACTGCACAACACCTCCAGACTGTCTTTTTTTGTTTGTTTTTTGAGACAATGTTTCTCTGTGTAGCTCTGGCTGTCCTGGAACTCACTCTGTAGACCATGCTAGCCTCTAACTCAAGAGATCTGCCGGACTCTGCTGAGATTAAAAGTGTGTGCCATCACTGCCCAGCTTTTTTTTTTTTTTGGAGCTGAAGACCGAACCCAGGGCCTTGTGCAAGCGCTCTACCACTGAGCTAAGTCCCCAACCACGGCTATTTTTTTTGTTTGTAATGAACCTATCAAAATTTATTTTATTAAATTTAGCTGATATTCTGTTTCTAACAAGAAAATATTTCTGGCAAGAATTCTGTCTGGACCTGCTGGTTAATGTGTGTCTTCAGTACTGAAATCATTTGCAGATGCTCCCAAGTTCCTTCCCACACTGAGCTTCTTCGGAGAGAAGCTCCCAGTCCTGCACAACTGGCACCAGCTAACAGCTCCTAGATGAGGAGCTCCTGAAATGAAACCACCCCACCAATTTGGCAGCATCCTCTCCTTCCTCAATACAATAACCCAACGTTCTTGTTCCTTAAAAGCACACTCTCTCACTCTATAGATTGCTAAACTACAGCTTCAGTCACACCTTCGCCTTAACTCAATAATCTTAAGGTCTTCCCCTTTGGGCTAGTCCATCACTTGAGTCTAAACCCTCGCTGGCTTGCTTTCAGAAGTCTTTCAGAACGTGGCCTGGGAGGTTTTCTGATTCACTGATCTTCAATAGGTACCATTTCTCAGGTACACATTCCCATATACCCTGTAAGCACCTTGCTCAGGTATGAGGTCTCTTCATCTAGACTGCTCCTGCCTATGCAAACTCTATCCAACTGTCTAGATGCTGGTCTATGATACAGGACTCTCAATACACATGAACCTGCTATACAGTCTAAAGCTTCTTTATGCTGCTCTGCATTAGATAGTGAAAGCTATACCACTTAGTTTCCCAAATAATTCTTTTCAAAGGAAGGACTCACATGTAATCCTAAACTGCTCAAGTAAGCATTGTTAAGTTTTTGAACACACATGACTGGGAGAACAAAGAACACACAGAAAGGCAACAGCATTATGTGTCAAAACACACTCTGCCACTACACTGAAAAGGATCCTGTCAAACTCAAGTCTTAAAGTTTACAAGTGCAGACAACAGAATCTCCCTCAGCAGAGTTGCTTACACCAGGAACAGGGCATTAAAGAACAACAGATGAAATCTTTCTTAGAAATACATACTGCACAAACAATCTGAAGATCATTAATTCCCTCCAAGTGTCTAGATACCATTTTTTAAACCCAAAGCGTGAGCTTTTTAAAACTTTAAAAAAATATATACAATTTCAAAAAACATTAGGGGTGTTAGTGCAGTGGAGGAACACCTATTTTGTATGTGCAAGGCCTTGGGTTCAATCCCCAGTTTCAAAACAATAAACAAAAGACCAGGAAGGAGGAAGTGAGTCTGTACTGATCTTTGCACAGGAAGTAGTTATATGTTAACATGACACTCATTCTCTCAGTGAGTTCAAAATGGGACATACATGCTAACTATGACATTTTAACAATTGCCAATCAGGCTTTTCTGGAATTAGTAGGCAGTGGTAGCTTATCAGAAGGGCATGCATTTCTTCTGAGGCTTTGAATGAGGGTCACAGGCTTGCTTTATTTGCTTTCTTTTTTTTTTTTTTTTTTTTTTTTTGATTTTTCGAGACAGGGTTTCTCTGTGTAGCTTTGCGCCTTTCCTGGAACTCACTTGGTAGCCCAGGCTGGCCTCGAACTCACAGAGATCCGCCTGGCTCTGCCTCCCGAGTGCTGGGATTAAAGGCGTGCGCCACCACCGCCCGGCTGCTTTATTTGCTTTCTACTGGGCAGATGACTCCTCAGAGGCCATAGTCTAGACTGGCAGTGAAGACACTGACATGCATGAGTTCCCAGAGCACCCACATGGTAATGATGGCTGTCAATCTGTCTGTTCTAGGCCACTGGAAGCCTCAAGTCACAGTACTGGCAGGCGTTGGCTAATAAATGTAACCAACGCTTAGTGACTACTGGGAACAATTCAAACATCCAACAGTAGAGAGCTGGTTCGTAGAGAAGAGTCAGGGCAGTACAGACTGCAGGATCCTCAAAAGGAAGCTGCACAGGAAAGATAGTTAAGATGTACAGGCTGTGCATGAAGGGGTACACAGTACTTTCCTAAAATGTTCCTAAAGAGTGTATAAGCATGATTAGAAAAGTCAACACAAAATGACTAAGGGTAGCCAGGCAGTGGTCCCAGCACTTGGAAGGCAGAGGCAGGCAGAGTTTGAGATCAGCCTGGTATACAATGAAAGTTCCAGGACAGCCAGAGCTGTTACGCAGAGAAACCTTGTCTCAAAACAACAAAAGAAAAAAAAAGGGGGGGGG